ACGTGGAAATTCGCAGTCCGCAATTTACTGCAAGGTACGGACAATGCATACGAGGTATGCATCGGTCAAGTGACTAAACCGGAGACATTGAGACAGAATGCTAATACGATAGACCAAGCGACATATAGTGACGCACTCAAAGACGTGGGACAAGGCTGGCCGAATCAAGCATAAATTCATCGAAATTCACGATACATGTCAGCTACTGCGCGAGAACATGGATGAAGCTCCACGCGACGCACAGAAGACGAAACAATCAGCACACACAGTGCAATTTCTTCAATTTCCGATGTGTGTGACGACAACATGGAGCACATCACAAATCGAAAATGTCGTTTATCGTAAACGGCCCTTTTGGCTCCATGAGGCATCGCAAGTAGTGAAACTGGTGGATACTCCCCCAGACAGTTTCGATGGTCTTCGCCAAGCATGGTGGGCAAGACAGGAAGAACAGCAGACATATTCAAATTGGTTGAGCTTTTGACTTCCGATGAGCGCAGTCGTAACGACCGGAAATAGCGTAACGACGAGTTGGTGGCGCTCGTTGCGGCCACTGCCGCTAAAGCTAAAGAGGAAAACTCAACGAAGGGCGCTACTGGGCAGCAACGGAAGTCTGCGAAGAAAAGTGGGCATGGCCCGCGGTGCTACAAATGTAATGGTTTCGGTCACATTAGTAAAAATTGCTCCACAGGCAGACGAGCGTTCTCGTCGTGCAGGCCGAGCGTTCTCGGTCACCGGGTCCTGTCCGGAAATCACCCCGGCCGACGAGCGTTCTCGTCGTGCAGGCCGAGCGTCCTCGGTCACCGGGTCCTGTCCGTAAATCACCCCGGCCGACGAGCGTTCTCGTCGTGCAGGCCGAGCGTTCTCGGTCACCGGGTCCTGTCTGTAAATCACCCCGGCCGACGAGCGTTCTCGTCGTGCAGGCCGAGCGTTCTCGGTCACCGGGTCCTGTCCGTGAGTCACCCCGGCCGACGAGCGTTCTCGTCGTGCCGGCCGAGCGTCCTCGATCACCGGGTCCTACCCGAAAGTCAACGGCGCCCGACGGAGCTCGCCCTTCTCAGGCGCCCCGTACGCGTGTCCACGTTGGAAACTTTAGGTATAAGTCGTGTCCGCGTCCGTATAATCTGGCCGCGTTTCGTCCGTAATCTTCCTATCTGTAACTTCTAGTAATAAGTCGTGTCCGCGTCCGTATCATCTGGTCGCGTTTCGTCCGATTATACTATGCTGTGTATAATGGTTTGAATCACGGGAGAACCACAGGAAGGTGGCTCCGAATAAACTCTACTTTTACCAGAGCAACCGTGTGTCATTGTGAATCTGAGTCTCCCCTCTTCCCGAATCCTGGCACTGGCGAGCCGATCCGTGGCGTCGGGAAAGGTGCTTTGTTACATACCTTACAAATTAAATATGATTGCTTTTGCTTCTGATGGTGCTCATGCAATGATGGGTCGTAATCATTCGTTAAAAACTTTACTAATAATGATATACCTCATTTATTTGTTATAAAATGTGTATGCCATTTTTTGGCATTATGTGCTTCACATGCATGTGCAAGTCTTCCTAATGAACCTGAAAAACTTGTCAGAAGTATTTATTTGTATATGTAATACAGCTTTAAGAGACAATCACAATTTAAAGATTTCCAAGTTTTCTTGAATTTAAAACCTCATAAACTTCTCCAACCAGCACAAACACGTTGGTTATCTCTGCAGTCAGCAATAAAAAGAGTTTTAGAGCAATATGAAGCACTTATTCTTTACTTTCGAGTAGAACAATATGACGGAATAAATGCTGCTTCTGAAATCTATGAGAATTTAATGAATCCCGTGAATAAATTATATTTAGAATTTTTAGAATATGTCTTACCAATTTTTTATAATTTAAATCTCGAGTTTCAATCTGAATCTCCAAAAATCTACCTCTTATACAATAATGTAGAAGATGCTTATCGGACATTTCTAAGTTATTATATAAATCCAGAGTACTTAAAAAGAACAGATGTAACACAAATCCAGTATAGAAATCCAGCAAACTATATGCCTCTTAATAAAATATATTATGGCCCAAAAGTTGCAATAACACTAGAAGGAAATAGTTTGTCTAATGAAGAGAAAAAGCTTTTTAGATTACGATGTCTGGATTTTTATATTAGTAGCGCTCATGAAATTTATAAAAGATTTCCATTCAATTCCTTCGAAATGTCAGTACTGAAATTGCTTTCATTCCTAAATCCAGATAAAGATAATTCACCCGAAACATTGGCACATTTATCTGTAATTTAATTACTGACTTAAATGCACTAGACAGAGAATGGAGATCATTTCTGAATATGTCGAATAAATTAGAGACTAAAGATGTAGTAAATTATTGGAAATCAATTTGTGAGAGAAGAAAGGGTGATGAGAGTTTGGCATATCCAGAACTTAATAAATTAGTGTCATATCTTTTGATATTACCACATAGCAGTGCTTGTGTGGAAAGAATTTTTAGTGCAATTAATCTTAATAAAACTAAAATTAGGAATAGACTGAGCAGTGAAACATTATCAGGTATTCTACATACTAAAAACTTAATAAATGAACATGGAAAAAATTGTTATAATTTTCAAATCACCTCCAATATGCTTGATCACAATAAGATGATGTATTAATTTTTTGTGTAATATTAAGAGTTATTTCAATAAAAGTAATTTCCATATTTGAAATATTAAATTATCAGATATATTATTGAGATCTGATTGAACTAATTCTTGTTAATTAATCGACGACATAAAAATTAAAACAATTTTTTGTGTTTATTAATCAAAATTGAAATCTTAAGAAATAAATAAATTATAACTTTTTTTAAACTGAGTTGATCACTCCGAAAGCAATTTTTCTTTTGTTTCAAACAGCACAATAGTATTATTTGATGAAAGACTTATGATTTTTGTTTTGTGCAATATTGTATTATTTTGCTTCAAATATGGAAATATCGTTTTGTTAAAGACTTGTGATTTTGTTTTGTGCAATATATTATGTAAAATATATATATTATAGTATATATAATGTTATATTTTGTGCAAATTTGTCAATAAAAATAAATCTCTATATAAATAAAGCAGTAAAGTATATTAATAACAGTTATTTTATTCCTTTATTTTGTCTATAGTTAATAAGTATATTAAATCCGGATTTAGAATAAGTAATTTAAGCCCTAAATTCCAATTAGGCCGGGTCTACAATAGATAATTGAAGCCTTAAGTTTTAAAAAAATGACCAATCGCAGTCAAGTGTATTCTTCAGTACAGTTGGTGAAAAATTATATAAATTTGGTGAAATATTATCAAAGATGGTGAAATTTGGAAACTTTATGCTTAAAAGTTGGTGAAGAAACATAATTTTCATCTGGCAACACTGATCTAGATGCACCCGATGACGAAGGCAAACGCTTCACTTCTAGTTCCGGCGTCGACGTGTGAACACCGACTCCCGCGTAACTCCGCATCGACCTAAGTGACGCCTTTCCGACGCGTGCTAAATACGACCGAATCTCTAGCGTCTTGACTAGGAAACGACGACTTTGTAACCGAGCGACGTAGATAATCCAAACCTTATTCACCGATTCTTGTTTTGCTATATTTTAGAAACATAAGTTCGTTAACCATAATCGCCGCCTCACGGCCTCCATGTGCCTTGTATTAAACGTAAAATAAATCGTTACGAACATAAGTAAATCGTGAAGTGGCTACGTTCATTCGACGACCTGCCCTCGCGCAAAACTCCTCCTTGTGGACGACCCGTTTCTCCGACGTGGAAATCATCACGAGGGACCTCGAGCGCGTGGCCACAGGATAACGCACTGCCCACATTACAACAAGGTTAGCAGAAACACTGGACAAGGACTAACAAGAGGACGCAGCATCACGGTAAGTGATTTGTTACATCAGTACGTGCCCGCGAATACGCGTGGTCGCCAACCCACGCCGCCGCCATATTTGTATGTCTTCTTTAACACGCGGTCGACGACCCACGCCATCGCCATACTTGTGCGCCTTATTCGAACACGTGGTCGGCAACCCACGCCGCCGCCATATCTGTGCGCCTTCTTTAACACGCGGTCGACGACCCACGCCGTCGCCATACTTGTGCGCCTTATTCGAACACGTGATCGGCAACCCATGCCGTCGTCATACTTGCGCGCCCCTTTTTCGAAAACGCGGTCGACAACCCATGCTGCCGCCATATCTGCGCGTCTCCTTTAACACGCGGTCGACAACCCACGCCTCCGCCACATTTGCGCGCCTCCGCACACACACTCATCGCCCTACGATACGTTTATAGATACTACCAACCACCCATCACAACTGACGACGACATATATATATATATATATATATATATATATATATATATATCTATATGTCGTCGTCAGTTGTGATGGGTGGAAACAACGATCGCAGATGATCGTGCGTGTAGTGAGGTGTCTACGAAATATAGCTATGGTGCAACGAGCGGACGCTACCCACTCGGTATAGGACAAGGATGGGGCTCCAAGACGTGGATTAGGGTTAAGAGTTCGGGGGCACATTATTTCAGCATCGCGAAGTGGTTCGAGTAACTGTTGACGGTTGACTCCCGAGGTACTATACGCGGACCATAGGTGCGGATGTATAGAGGGTGGATGCGAGTAGTTAGATATATATGTCGTAGCCCGATAGCGAAATTAGCCAATTAGCTAAAAGCCTAGGCGTTTAGCTAAATGCCGCCTGTTAGGCTAATCGAGGACGATATAGTCTAATGGCCTGGAAAATTCAGCCTGTTAGACGAGAAGTCGGCTTTTCGCCTAACGGCCTGGCGCGCTGTAGGCGATTAGAGAAATGCTTGTTTTGGAGCTCGATATGTTGTCAATTTATTTACTACACAATTATTACTACATTACTATTTGTTAATGCAAGATGCGCTACTGTGGCAACGAGAATTGCAAAGAATTTTTGCTTTAAAACATGCACATCTATTTGTCTAACACTGATTTTTAGCAATTTTGCAATTGCATTTTTTATATCCCTGTCCACCACTTGCCGACTGCTTTGCAGCAGCTTCCCTCAAAGTAAGAAGAACATTTTTTGGAACGTCAGCCATGGTAATAAGATTAGTGCCCGATTTTGCAATTTCAATACGGGGGAACCATCCTTTCAATATCCCATCCTTAGTTCCAATTTGATATACGTCATTTTTGGTATCAGTTACAACGCCAAATATGTTATTAAAATCGAGAGGCCCACGGTCAACAGTGGGAACAGATAATGTAATGGTGTCATTGATCTGAAGGGGTGGAAAAGTGATACTCGAACAGGTAACCATTTTTTCGGCCTCTGTCGTTTGACGCTCGAAACAATTTGACCGAGTGTCAAGTAGCTGTTTGCCCCTAGCGCACAATGAACAGATAGCAATCTGTCCGCGGTCGCTATGCATTTCCATTTTGCACTTTGTGCAAAGTATACTGCTCGAGTCGTCTACCTGTCGCTTCTTCTGTGGTCCCTCTCTTTCCTCTTCTTCATCCTCTCGCATTCTTTTTTTCTTGCTTACGTCTTCGCACTGCTCAACACTAAAGTTCAAATCACTCTATATGAGTTCTATTATATTATATTTATCTAGTTCTATTATATTTATTTTAAGTCAATTACCTCGCGTTCAATTGTACATTCTGCTCCTCCAGAGCTTGCTCCAAGTCTTCCTCTGTCTGAAGCGAATTTAAAATTTCATCAGGCAAAGATGTATTTCTTATGCCGCTTTTTATCGGTCCAAGTAGAGCTTCGTACGGGCTCCTGTTTATGACTCTATGTCGCGATGTATTCTTTTGCCACTGAAATCAATATTTAAAGTATGTAAATTTTCAAGTGTGTATTCAAGAACACAATATTAATTTAATTATATATGTGAGAGCCATTACTTGTACTTCGTAGCAACCACGACTCCAATTTATCGAATCATTATCGATCATCCAGGCTCTTAACATGTTTTCAACGTCCGCATTTGACCTTTCGACACTACCTTGGCTCTGTGGGTGTCGCGGACGCCCATGAACAATCCTGCAGTGAGGCCAGATGGAAACAAGTTCGTGTATTACTGCAGCCACGAATTTTCGACCATTATCCATGAGCTTCTAACAATTTATCGTAATAATCCTCCATCGCTATTACGTAAATAACTGGCTCATTCGAAGTTTTTCGTTTTAAAATTACATACGATTCCGTTCCAATTTTTGCTAGCTCATACTTCTTCGCGTAATGATAATGAGATACTGTCTTTTTAGTACTTGGAACCTGAATTTCTTGCAGAACTTTCATAACGTTGATCATCTGATCTCGCCTCCACACTGTTCGATTACTGCCTGGTCGATTTGAATAGAATTTATCTAATTTTTCGTTAAACTCATCGCGGTTTACTGGCATATAACTTGCCATGGCTGTTATTGATTGCCAACTAACGAAAAAAATTGAATATACAACGAGCTCTGTGATGATTTACTTAAGACCCACTGAGATATTTACAAACAATAAATTGACAACATATCGAGCTCCAAAACAAGCATTTCTCTAATCGCCTACAGCGCGCCAGGCCGTTAGGCGAAAAGCCGACTTCTCGTCTAACAGGCTGAATTTTCCAGGCCATTAGACTATATCGTCCTCGATTAGCCTAACAGGCGGCATTTAGCTAAACGCCTAGGCTTTTAGCTAATTGGCTAATTTCGCTATCGGGCTACGACATATATATCTAACTACTCGCATCCACCCTCTATACATCCGCACCTATGGTACGCGTATAGTACCTCGGGAGTCAACCGTCAACAGTTACTCGAACCACTCCGCGATGCTGAAATAATGTGCCCCCGAACTCCTAACCCTAATCCACATCTTGGACCCCCATCCTTGTCCTATACCGAGTGGGTAGCGTCCGCTCGTTGCACCATAGCTATATTTCATAGACACCTCACTACACGCACGATCATCTGCGATCGTTGTTTCACCGACCTGGAACCTCCGCAACGAAATTTATACGAGCACCTAGTACGCCATTATATCACCCTGGAAGACGATTCGCGTTTTGAGGAGTGCACCTCCTGTATCCGAGTTTTAGTAGGAACTGTCGCTGTGCGCGACTCTACCTGTGGAGCCTTGAGTAACTTCCTCTCTTACCTTGCCCGTCACGAAGAAGCCCCTTATAACGATCCAGAACCGACCTTCGTTATAATTCGGGAATTTCGGGTCTAGATCTTTGTTAAAAATTCCCAGCACCCGCGGTCTTTGGGGATTACGTGGGTAGTTTCGGCGCCCAACGCCCCTTGGACGTAACAAACTGGTGACAGCGGTGGGATAGACGGTATAATCCCTCGCGCCGAGATCCCTCTATTCAAACCGCTTCTTTAAACCGGTATCCGTAGGACACACTCCAAAGAATCTTTTCGAATTGCGCCCCACGCCGTTTCACCAGTTAGTTCCTAGACTACAATAAAATACAAACCTCGCCTAAAATAACGAGTACAAAACGCTCCAGCAACAATGAGTATGACAACGAGGCAAACCGCGGCCGATAAACCGTCTCTCTCCGAAGCCGAAATAGAAGTAATAAGCTCTAATTTGGCCCAACAAGAGCAACGCCTTAAAGACGAAAAGGCCGCCCTCCTGAAACATCGTGCCGAGTTTGAACGCGAACGCGAGGCCGATATAAGACGTCGAGAAAAGAGCGACTCGGCAGCCTCACTTTCCGCTGCTCGCGCGGAGCTAGCCCGACAAGAGCAACTCCGAGACAACACTGCGCGTCTCAATACAACATATTGTATTCAGTTTTTATAAATTTATCAAGTCAGAGTGGATTTTCTTTTAAATATTATTTAGTATTATATTTTCATGTGACTATGTCAAAGTATATTAATATATTAAGCTTTTATTTATAATGCATTTTTTGATAGAATTTTAATGTACATAATAACAATATTTAATTAAAAAATAATAATGATAAATGATAAAGGTTCCACACACACACACACATTAGCTTAATTTAATTATACATTTATTTATATTATTTGTATTTTTCATATTATTTTATATTTTTATTTTTGTATTACTATTTCTTCTTATTCTTATAATTATGACGTTATAATTTTAATATTTTTTATTAATGAAAGTTTGTCAGTACTCTGAAGAGAATTTTAAAGTAATTTTATTGTATTAGTAATATAAATAAAAATACATTTAAATAAAATTTAAGTAAATTATTGCTTTTTATATAGAAATATTTATTCTGATTCATAGATAATTAATTTATTTTGTAGCATCTCCATTTGGTATAACAAAAAGAAGACGTTGGACGGAAGAAGAACGTAATACAATATTAAAAGAATTTCAAAAAGAAATTACCACTTTACAGCTGCCATCTAACAAAAAAATTTTCTGTATAAAAGAAAAAAATAAGTGCTTATTTAATCTATCCGTTTCTCAAATTAAAACGTAAATCCTTAACTATATATCTGACAAAATTAAGCGTCACTAAATGAATAAATATTTTTAGAAATTATTTATGTAATCAAATCGGAAATATTTTAATTTATTATTCAAAAATAATACGTAGATTACTTGTATTTAAGCAAATGCAAAAAATAAGTAGAATACCTAATTTTTATTATTTCAACACATTAAACTGAAAGTTAAGTTACGTTGTGAGAATTTTATAAAAAATGAAGTTAGAGAAGTTGCACTGCGCAAAGTCATTTATTTTGATTCCTTCATATATTTATATTATATGTAGAGTAGCAGTACTGTGTAGTTATTACAATTCTTTTATTGATAATATATATTTGTTTAGGATTGAGAAAAATTCGCCGCGCTCGATTAAACGAAAATTCACGGATCAGTCGAGAATTTAGGTAAAAGCAATTGCCGCGGGCCTAACACGGCAGCACCTCGCGGCACGCACCGCGGGAAGCGCCGCGGAAGCAAATTTTCGGCCAATTAGCGCGTTCCGCGTATACCCCTCGCGATCAGGCGGTCGATAGCGTGATCGATGAGGGTAGCATTCCGTCGGGGACAGTCGTCGCGGAGAGAGAGCCGGCGTTGGTCGCAAGTCAGACCAAAGAATTCGCGTTACGGTGTAATAAGTGCGTGAATGTATTATCGCGACAAATACGAACAGATTTGCGCGGTATTTTGTGACATATCGAGAGTGAAGAGTTAACGGGTAATCGGATCTCGTTCGCGACGCAACATACACGTTCTCGCGACGAATTCGCCATTGTCTCGTGCATGCTACGTGCACGTGATCGAACATTACGAGTATTTGGATCCTGCTAGAGGATTCACTGCGATATTCGCGTATCGGTGAATGCATGTCGTGCATTCTCTCTCTCGCTCGTTCTCTCTCTCTCTCTCTCTCTCTCTCTCTCTCCCGCGCTCTCTCTCACAATTGTCGTAGTACGCCGTCGCGACGAATTCGCCGTCGTATTGTGCACGCTGCGTACACGTGATCGACTCCTGCGAATATTCGAATCCTTCTGGAGGATTCTGTGTGATAGTTAATTGCATATAAATGCACGTGATCGAACATTACAAATATTCGGATCCTGCTGGAGGATTGAATGTCACATAATTGAAGACAATTATTGAGTCGCGTCAAATCATATGTGCGCGTGTTCGATAAATTATAACGGTCGTCCACAAGAGGACAAATTTGTTGTTGTACGATTCGCGATCGTGACTTTCAAATAAGACATTGTTTTTTCTTGCGACAAAAGACATTGGTGTCGATATCGAACAAACAGTTTTTTCTTTTGTGATCGCGAGCTTCGAAACGTGTACAGCAAACGCTTTCGATTCTCATCTCGAGTTTTTGTTCTTTTTTCTTTGATTTGTTTGTGTCAAGTCCAGGTGACTTTCTGACTTGTGAAATAATAAATTGATCTGTTTTTGTTCATCAACTTCAAGACTTCTTTTCAATTCGGCTTCCTGCGTAAATCATCAATCTCAGCGCACACATGGGTGCGCGATCACCCTATTAAGATACAGTCCACTCAACAATTGTCCTATTGTCCATCCATCACATCTCTCATGAGATTCCTATGATTTCTTTCCAATAAAAAAAAAAAAAAACGGGTGAAGGATTTGAGAGGCGGCGCGCGACGCGGCCCTAAAAAGGCCGAGCATGCTCGTTCGTCGCAGCTTCGCGTCGGACCACGGTTCAAGCCGCGCGTTCGCAACATTTGGTCCTTCGAGCCGGATTTGAGATTGGTGACGAATTGAAAAGTGAAAAACTCAAGTAAAAAACACAGTGACATTGCAAGTACATTCAAAATCGGACATCATCAAACGCTATCAGTGCATTCAAAGAGAGTGACAGTTCGGTTCGTAAAAGACTAATTTGATTAAATTCAGTGTCGTTGAAACCTCAGTTGATTAAATTCAGTGTCAAAATGGAAGAAGCTCTCGCAAATCAACAAACTGCTTGCTATTCAGTTGCTCGAGCTCTCGATAATTTTAAAAAGATCGGTCGGTCAAATCTGACGGCCGCCAAAATTCGCTCGCGAATGACGAGCTTACAAGACACGTGGACACAATGTGTACGCAATCACGCGACACTGCTGCAGCTTGTTCCTGACGAGAAGCAAGTTTCAATTCACTACTTCAAAAAGGAGACCTTCGCCTTCCACGAGGACCTCTATCAGGCAGCTATGGACTACATGAACGAGTGCTTGGAGGAGCTGGTTCCAGTCGTAAGTCGTGAAACCTCTTTCAACGCTTCGTTCGCGCATACAGACTCTGCGTCATTATCGGTCAAACATCTTCCTCCCATCAAATTGCCGCCGTTCACCGGTAAGATTGAGGAGTGGGAGACTTTTCGCGATCGGTTTCAATCGCTTATTATAGACAATCGCGAATTATCGAACTTCAGTCGCATGCATTTTTTAGTGTCAAGTTTAACAGGCTCAGCTCGCGATGCGATATCAGGTATTAAAGTCACCGCGGATAACTTCTCGGTTGCGTGGAAAGCATTAACAGCGCGTTTTGAAAATAAGCGCCGATTAATTGAGACTCACATTTCGAATTTGTATAATCTTCCGAAAATGACTCGTGAGTCAGCTGTCGAGCTTCACGCCTTACGCGATAAAGCCGAACAAGCGATCTCAACATTGCAACGTCTTAATCGTTCGCCGGACGATATAGTCAGCGACATGTTAGTTTATTTTCTCTCTCAGAAGTTCGATCCCGCCACGCGCCGTGCGTGGAAGTTAAAAACGAGCGATATCGAAAATCCGCCAACATACAAAGAAGTATTAAAATTTATTTCGTCGCGTGCTCTCGCGTTAGAGGAACTTCACCCTCGCGATAACGACAAGACCAAGTCACATGCGAAAGTGACTAGCGCAACAGCGACTGCGTCATCTAATATAGTGTGTTCAATGTGCAAGCAATCGCACATTCTCTCAAAATGTCCGCAATTTGTAGCAAAGAGTCCGATTCAGCGACGCGAATTGGTTAAGAAATTTCGACGATGTTTTAATTGTTTGAGTGATAAACACATGTCGATCAATTGTCAAAGTAATTTCACATGTCGAACATGTAATAAACGACATCATTCTATGATTCATCTCGATTCGGACTCATTGCAACAAGTTACAAATGCGAACAATACGTCAAACGCGAATGACGTCATCGACAACGTGCCTAACGTTACGGCACTCTCATCAGTTACAATGACAACTGCGCCGACTCCTGTTGTCTTATCTACTGCAAAGGTGAATTTGCAGGCGCCTTCTGGACGCTCATTGGTTGTCAGAGCCTTGATTGACGGTGGATCAGAGCTCACGTTTGTGACGGAGCGCGTTGCTCAAATATTACGTCTCAAGCGTATACGAACGCTTACTTCAACGTCGGGAATAAGCTGCGCTGACACCGGTACATGCCGATCTGCGGCTCTGATTCACATCACTCCTCGCAAAAAATCGAAACCAAGGTTCACAACGGTTGCCTATATTATGAAGGCATTAACGAGGTATGCTCCCAGAAACGCTTCGCAATCGCAAGATTGGAAACATATTTCCAATCTGGAATTGGCTGACGATGATCCTACCGGATCAACACCGATTGATCTCATAATAGGATCCGATTTATATAATCACGTACTCGTTCACGTACGTAACGGACCGCTCGGTCAACCAGGTGCAATTGAATCGCATTTCGGATGGATCCTATCCGGAACAACCTCTATCCCGAATCACGTGACACAACCCTCTCATGTGGTAACTTCAACTCTCGTAATTCCGCCTGTTGAGGATGCGAGTCGCGTCGTGCAATCAGCTCAGTTAAATCAACGTTACAGTGTTGTCGCTCATTGTTGTTCTCTCGAAAATCAATTGTCTAAATTCTGGGAGGCAGAAGAAACACCTCAATCAATTGAAATGTCTCCAGATGACGAACAATGCGAAGAACATTTCAAACAAACGCATTCGAGAACATCGGATGGGAGATATATCGTGCGTCTGCCGTTTCGAAACGGCCCACCCATCGAAATCGGTGAATCTCGCGAAATAGCCGCGCGTCGGCTTTCGTCGTTACTTCGGAGAATTAATAATCAACCTGCGATTAAGCAGGAGTATTCTGAGTTCATGAGCGAATACGCACAGTTGAATCATATGAAAGTAATCGCACCGGTGGATTCAGTAAATTCACAAGTCGTGTACATCCCTCATCATCCGGTCATTCGAGAGACTAGTTCGACAACTCGGTTGAGAGTCGTATTTGACGCCTCATGCACAACCTCTAACGGTACCTCGCTCAATTCTCACATGTTTACTGGGCCTAAACTACAGTTAGATCTGCAATCGGTTTTATTACGTTGGCGACAGCACAAATACGTTTACTCCGCAGACATAGCGAAAATGTATAGACAAATATTGGTCGACTCGCGAGATAGAGATTATCAACGCATCCTATGGATAGATGAAAATTCGAATATTCAAGAACATCAACTCCTTACGGTAACATACGGTACGGCTTCCGCACCGTTTTTAGCTCTTCGAGTCATTAATCAGTTAAACGATGATGAAGGAAGCTCGTTTCCACTAGCATCTGCGGTTTTAAGCGAGAACGTCTATGTGGACGACGTGCTGTTTGGGGCCGAAGATATGCCTCTCCTTAAACAGACTCGAGATCAAGTTTGCAAATTGTTGAAACGCGGTGGATTCGATCTTCGCAAATGGGCGAGTAACAAACCGGAGTTGCTCTCAGATATTTCATCGGATCATCACGGGCTCGCACAGCTTAAATTATTCGAGACTGACAACAATCTGAAGGTTCTCGGTATTTTTTGGAATCCGACGCACGATTGTTTCCAGTTTCAAATTGAATTACCACAGACTCTCCCTTCTACAAAACGAACGATTCTCTCTACCATAGCCAGAATATTCGATCCACTTGGATGGGTCACACCCGTAATTCTCAAAGCGAAAGTTTTTATGCAGAAATTATGGCGACACAAAGTAGGCTGGGACGACAATCTCTCAGAAGATCTTTTACAATGGAGCGTGATTTATAAATCACTTCCTTACATCAAAAGCATAAAACTTAGTCGCTGGATTGGATGCGATTCAGATACCAAGAGCATCGAGGTACACGGTTTCGCGGATGCTTCCCAAGTAGCTTACGCCGCAGTAGTAGTTTTTTGAGAGTCACAACATTATCCGGTCATACAACTGTTTCGCTCCTCGCTGGGCGATCCAAAGTCGCGCCTATCAAACCGCTGAAAATCCCTCGACTAGAATTGTCAGCTGCGGTTTTATTAGCGCGCCTAATCGAATTCATAAGAAAATCTCTTCATTTCACGAAAATGCCAGTCCATTGTTGGACAGATTCGAGTATTGTGCTTGCTTGGTTAAACAAGCACCCATCTCACTGGAAAACTTTCGTCTCGCATCGCGTAACAGAGATTCAAACACGAGTATCTGATGGCATTTGGCATCATGTCAGTACACATGAAAATCCCGCTGACTGTGCATCTCGCGGTTTACTCGGCACAGAATTGAGCGCCTTCGACATTTGGTGGCGCGGACCTTCCTGGTTGAGTCTTAAACAGGATGATTGGCCCACATTCACAATAACGCCGATAGACGAAACACAGTTAGAAGAAAAACCGTGTCAAGTGCATCAAGTGAACGCTAATGAACCGTGGAATCTCACTACTCGATATTCATGGTGGCCGAAATTAATACGTATTACCGCCTACATTTACCGTTTCATAAGGAAGTGTAGAAAGAAACACACAATAGAATCGAACAACAAGTCTCAATCTCACGCTCTTACTACAGTTGAATTCAACGAAGCACGAAACTTCTGGCTGAACTTCATTCAGTTAGAACTATTCGAAAACGAGCTCCATAATTTAAAGTCAAACAAACCGTTGCCTACTCACAGTCCAATTCTCTCATTAAATCCGTTCCTGGATTCTGACGGTCTAATTCGCGTTGGGGGGCGATTAGAACACTCGTCATTATCTTTCCAGTCCAAGCATCCAATCTTATTAGCCAACCATACGATCACTACCATGATCATCCGTTATACGCATGTTGTATCTCTCCATGCCGGTCTTCAATCCACTCTTTCAAAACTTAGACAAGAGTTTTGGATTTTGAGAGCAAGAAGTCTAGTAAAGTCGGTTATTTATAAATGTGTTCCGTGTACAAGAGAAAAGGCTCAAGTAGCTAGTCAGCTGATGGGCCAGCTACCTACAAGTCGTGTTTCGGCGCCCTCTCGAGCGTTTCTACATAGCGGTGTCGACTACGCCGGACCAGTCTTCACACGTGCTTCAGCCGGCCGAGGAATTACCTCGCGAAAGGCCTACATAGCACTCTTTATTTGTTTAGCCACACGCGCTATTCATCTCGAACTGGTTAGTGATTACTCGACTGCTGCCTTTCTTAACGCTTTTCAAAGATTTTGTGCGCGACGTGGATTACCAGAGGTCATGTACTCGGACAATGGTACTACGTTCGCAGGAGCAGACAAGGAGTTGTCGCAAGCGTATCGAGACGCTCAAAGCGATGTTAACTTTCTCAACTTCATCGTGTCAGATAACATCACATGGAGTTTTATCCCTCCCCATGCTCCACACTTCGGTGGATTGTGGGAGGCAGGGGTCAAAAGCGTTAAATACCACCTTCGTAGGATATTAGGAAATCACACCCTCACTTTCGAGGAACTTACTACCGTGCTTTGTAAAGTTGAAGCATGCTTAAATTCAAGGCCCCTGTGCCCATTGACTGATTCGATTGACGATTTTGAAGTGCTCACTCCGGGTCACTTTTTGATTGGATCGGCAATCACAATCAATCCAGAACCTTCTGTTCTGCAAATCAATGAAAACAGACTGTCACGGTGGCAGTTGTTGCGACAGATCACGGAGCGTTTTTGGAAGCATTGGCACGCCGACTATATTAACACGCTTCAACAGCGAACTAAGTGGCGAAAGGCAAAGTCACTTATCCATATCGGTTCCATGGTTCTGATTCAAAATCCTCTTCTTCCTCCTTGCAAATGGGAACTCGGACGCGTAATCCACTGTCAACCAGGCTCTGACGGATTAATTCGAGTAGTTTCCGTCAAAACAGCGAACTCGGAATATAAGCGTCCCATAACTAAGTTATGTGTGCTTCCAATCGACGTTGATTCTGACGATTCCATCGAGGATCAACCTCGAGTGTCAAGCAATTAGCGATAATTCTAGTGTAAGTTAATTATACGATTCTAATTCTAATTACGTTATAATTTATGTAGCAAGTAAGTCAAGTTTATGTTCATTAGTTAAGTCAAAGCGTGCAAGTAAAGTCGCCAAGGCGGGCGGCGCTTGCAATCCTAAGTTTAAGGTCGTGCGAATTAGTACGAACAGCGGATACTGTTGTTTACGCGATCTGCGTTAAATGTTAAAATCCGTCCGCGATAACAACAGTGATCTTTAGAAGTCAACTTTAAGTCAATATTGTCAGCCGTTTCAGGTCTACAATTTCACTTTAGTGCGATCTGAGCGTAATCAGAAGTTACATCTCAGTATCTTATATATTGCATGGGATCAATCGTGACGAACAATCACACGCAATTAGTTTTCATTTAGCAAACCTCACTCACACGGGAGTGAACGATGCATCCTTGTGTAAGGTATACCGCGAGATCGAGTAGTTTCGAAATTCAAATTTCGAGGCGGGCGGTATGTTTAGGATTGAGAAAAATTTGCCGCGCTCGATCGAACGAAAATTCACGGATCAGTCGAGAATTTAAGTGAAAAGCAATTGCCGCGGGCCTAACACGGCAGCACCTCGCGGCACGCACCGCGGGAAGCGCCGCGGAAGCAAATTTTCGGCCAATTAGCGCGTTCCGCGTGTACCCCTCGCGATCAGGCGGTCGATAGCGTGATCGATGAGGGTAGCATTCCGTCGGGGACAGTCGTCGCGGAGAGAGAGCCGGCGTTGGTCGCAAGTCAGACCAAAGAATTCGCGTTACGGTGTAATAAGTGCGTGAATGTATTATCGCGACAAATACGAACAGATTTGCGCGGTATTGTGTGACATATCGAGAGTGAAGAGTTAACGGGTAATCGGATCTCGTTCGCGACGCAACATACACGTTCTCGCGACGAATTCGCCATTGTCTCGTGCATGCTACGTGCACGTGATCGAACATTACGAGTATTCGGATCCTGCTGGAGGATTCACTGCGATATTCGCGTATCGGTGAATGCATGTCGTGCATTCTCTCTCTCGCTCGTTCTCTCTCTCTCTCTCTCTCTCTCTCTCCCGCGCTCTCTCTCACAATTGTCGTAGTACGCCGTCGCGACGAACTCGCCGTCGTATTGTGCACGCTGCGTACACGTGATCGACTCCTGCGAATATTCGAATCCTTCTGGAGGATTCTGTGTGATAGTTAATTGCATATAAATGCACGTGATCGAACATTACGAATATTCGGATCCTGCTGGAGGATTGAATGTCACATAATTGAAGACAATTATTAAGTCGCGTCAAATCATATGTGCGCGTGTTCGATAAATTATAACGGTCGTCCACAAGAGGACAAATTTGTTGTTGTACGATTCGCGATCGTGACTTTCAAATAAGACATTGTTTTTCTTGCGACAAAAAACATTGGTGTCGATATCGAACAAACAGTTTTTTCTTTTGTGATCGCGAGCTTCGAAACGTGTACAGCAAACGCTTTCGATTCTCATATCGAGTTTTTGTTCTTTTTTCTTTGATTTGTTTGTGTCAAGTCCAGGTGACTTTCTGACATGTGAAATAATAAATTGATCTGTTTTTGTTCATCAACTTCAAGACTTCTTTTCAATTCGGCTTCCTACGTAAATCATCAATCTCAGCGCACACATGGGTGCGCGATCACCCTATTAAGATACAGTCCACTCAACAATTATCCTATTGTCCATCCATCACATCTCTCATGAGATTCCTATGATTTCTTTCCAATAAAAAAAAAAAAAAAACGGGTGAAGGATTTGAGAGGCGGCGCGCGAGACGCGGCCCTAAAAAGCCGAGCATGCTCGTTCGCCGCAGCTTCGCGTCGGACCACGGTTCAAGCCGCGCGTTCGCAACAATATTCATAATTTACAAGTGCAAATAGGAATTTTAATTATATGACTCATAAGATAAAAGTTAATTTACATTGCGAGATTTTATAAAAAAACAAAGTTGAAAAAGCCTTGCACTGCGACAAAGTATTTATTTTGATTTTTTCATATATTTTCAGTTTTTTAAATTATCAAATCAGAGTGAATTACTCCTCTTTAATATTATTTAGTATTATATTTAGTATTATATTTTAGTTTATTTTAGTATTATTTTTAGTATTATATTTGTCACTATGTCAAAGTAATTAATATATTAATCTTTGTATCTGTCTCTCAGAACAATGCGTGGATTATTTCATAAACTATTAACAATTGCCAAAAAAATCGTCTTTACGTTTTATAAAAAATAAATAATTTTAATTATTTAGATATAAGTAATCAGAATTCAACGCATTGATGCAAGAATTTAAACTGACAAGAAAAATTTAAAAAGCGCTGTGTAAAAACTTTAGATTTTTTACGATTTATATTATATAACCTGCCAAAAATCAAATTAATATGTTATGGCTTTTGTATGCACTTAACACAGACAATATTATTGCAATGAAAAACATTTTATATTACTTTAAATAAATATATAAATAATGATACTATTCTGTACAATTATACATATAATACATGTTTTTCTTAAAATTTCTATTACTGAACATTTAATGCGTATCGTCTTGGTTTTATATTTATCACATAATAATTACAAAAATTTTTAAAATTTGAAATACCTAAAAAGATTATAATTAACGACATTTCCCATTATTTAAAAAATGCAAATTAAAAAAAATTACTTAAATAATTTTGAAAATTTTATTTTCAGAAAAAATTGCAGAAAAAAATTTACACTTAGTTCTAGTTCTTAATAATAATTGTTAGAATCCAGGACGGGGGTTAACATAGAACCCATAATTAAACATTGGATTTACGAAGATATTTTTCAATTTGAGGTACTTAAAAATTTTGTATTTCAAACAAAAGCAAATGAAAACGAGAAAAGAAAAGAAAAATAAGAAAAAGAGACTAATTTCACAGAGATAAAAAATATCAAGTTATTAATACACGAACAATTGCTTTCGGAATATTACAGATAAAGAAGTAACCTTCGCATTGTGTAGCACAGCTCTGACTAAGCAGAAACAAATTGTCTCTGCCCAGTGCTGAGATTACTACCGTCTTCATTCAAGACTGCATCCAAACCATCCGATCGATAAACTAAAGAATGCACTTTACATTTCTCGAGGGTTTTGTATATTATGCATATCGGTATACTGATCCAACGGATCCACATTCTCTCGATTAGTACCCAAGAAGAGAAAAGGATTCTGAGGTATAATTGCTAAATGAGATCTGGAATGTTTTTCTTTTCTTTACAACTGCCCAGTAAACTACCTAGTCAAAGTGATGTCATATGACATCAAAACTGTCGTATGTCGTCATTGCGTAAAAAAAGTAATTTAATATGACGAAAAAATTGACATCATATATTTTAACGTGCATAATGAAATATTTATATAAAAAAAGATTAAAGTGTGTGTTAGAAAGTTTAGATGATAATTGTAGTAATATGTAGGGAAAACTCCATCAGTGTTCATATTGATATCAAAATGACTATATTATGATGAGACAATTTGATTCAGTTATATATTACCTCCAGCGTTATTTATATAGTAATACTATATATATATATATATATATATATATAATAATGACAGGGTGATTCAAAAACAACCGTTTGTCCTTAAAATGTCGTATTCCTGACTCATTCTAAGACGATTTTCCTTTGCCAAAATTTTATCCGAAGCTTAGTTTTTGAATATAAAAAGAAATAGTTAGCGAATTACAGCACAGGAGTACGGGTGTAATCAGAAGCGGCGCAACACATTATCCGACCGCGGGCGATTACGTGGCGGGCGCTCGAAGCGATCAGCTGTTGGTTACAGGGCGTTGTGTGTTGTGGGGTGTGTGTGTGTGCGGCGTGTGTGTGTGTACGCGTATACACACACACACACACA